TGTCTATCGTTACCCGTAAATAATCAAAGAGAATTCATAAAGCTTACACGCTGTCCAAAATAAAGTGAAAATGCCTGTTTGTGTATTATTTGTATGTATTATTTTGTTTTAAATTGTATGCCTTTTATTATAATTTATTTCTTTAGTGTCGACACCGCCTTCCCCTTCATATTTGTTTCAAGTAACTGTCCTCACCATAGGTTGTCTGGAAGAGATCGCTTCATAGCGATAAGACCGCCTAATTGTACCTTGTGTGTTCCTTTTCTTCTGTTGTTATTTGTTTGGTGTGCAATAAAGTGTATTTATTATTATTATGCCTATTTGCTATCATTTTTATAATATTGATTAACACTTCTCAGTAAAGGCTATCCTTGAATAAAATATCGCGTTATTTTGTAAAATCTCAAAAATATTGTTCATTTTGTCATCAATATTGAACAATTTTAGGATATAGGCACGTTTATATGTTGGTATACCTCATACTTTCATTAATGTGTCACTGTAGCTTGATTGATTGCCTTTAGCAACATGAAAATGGCTAATGCCTTATTTTAAACCGAACCTATTGCGACTTTATTGGAGCAACCTACATTTTATAATTATTTCATACTAAATATGGAATGCATGTATGACCCAAGGTGTGATCCATTATGTTAGATACAGTATTACCTGTATGTTCTATCTTTAGATTGCGTCTCATTAAGTTCAACATTTGAACCATTAATCAATGCCAAATCTCACGTTGTGTCACCTTAATTATATAATTTAATAACAACGAAACTTATTACGAGATACAGCAATAGTTAAAAGTAAGACAATTTTCTTAATTTTTCCTAATTTACTTAGTATCAACATGCACCATTTAACGGGATGTGATGAACTAGATATGTTATTATGTATTAAGGTAAGTAGTTACTTAGCTCATAATTCGAGTATCGGATTAACTCTCAATTCCAATCTGCTATGGTCCATTGAGGTTATACCGTAATAGAGGTTAATCCGCTTATTCGAAAAACACTTAGCTTATTAACGTATGCTCTAACAGCAAAATGCAAAATGTGTTCTGCTTTCTCTATTAATACATTTGTGAAGAGCCACAATAAATACAAACGGATTATTATGAAAATCCGATGTACCTAAAGACAATATAAGAAAGCACTTACCTTGCAAATAAAAATCTCCAAGGCCAAAATAACAGCCGATTTAAAAATAATCCAACAAATATTTTTTAACTTAATTTATACAAAGACTGACTTCTTCTGAAAAACGCCCCCGCTGTGTTTGTCAAGACAAACTTCTCTCTACATACACTTCAATTAAATGCGCGGACCTTTATACTTAATCAATATAAAGTTTAATGTACTTTAATAAATATATTTATCTAGTTACTCGCCATAGAACAAACACTCTTCATTTAGAACTATTAATGGTAATCGCGAGGTCCCTGCCTATACCTCTCCAATAAAATTTCATTTTCGCCCTTAAAACTATTGCTTTACCTCACTGTAAAACTCGATTCCTAAAAATGTTGATGCTTAAAAACAATAAAGATTACTCAATTAAGTTAACGGGTAGTCATAAGTTCCAATGTTTATTGAAATCTAAAAGCATTTTGACACTTAAGTAATGAAATTTTGATTAATGGTGGTGGCAACTACCCGTTCGTTACGTTCGTTCGTTACGATCATCGTTGACCCAATTATTTATTATAACATCATATTTCCTGCAAAATAAGAAAAACTTACCTGTCTACAAGTCCATCAGACGCGAAGTTAACCGAATCGGTGAATAACGGGTGTAAATCTAAAATTCAAAGGTGACTGGCTAACTGACTGACTAACATAGTGATCTATCAACGCACAGCCCAAACCACTGGACGGATCGGGCTGAAATTTGGCATGCAGGTAGATGTTATGACTTGGGCATCCGCTAAGAAAGGATTTTACGAAACTCCACCCCTAAGGGGGAACGGGATCCACGCGTACGAAGTCGGCCGCTAGTTAGGCTGAGTTGCACCACCTAACTTTGACGATAACTAATAACGATAACCGATGTTTTTTGTATGGAGTTTGACAGATTTTTGACGTTTGTCAAAGTTAAAGTAAGATGATGCTACCCAGCCTTAGAATATAAAGTTGCAAAATAAAAAACAAAATAAAATTGGATAAATTCCAGAATATAAATCTGAAATGAAAGATATAAAAAATAAAAACACTTACAGGTAGAGGGAAAGGTGCTGGGCGATGTGACATGGGCGCGAAGGGCGGGACACGGGGCTCCTGCGCGGGCGGCGGTGGCATGCGGTCCATCTGGGGCATACGGTCCATCTGGGGCATACGGTCCATTTGCGGCATGCGGTCCATTTGGGGCATGCGGTCCATCTGAGGCCTCAACGGAAGACGCACGGGGCCGGACAGCGGGAATGCGAACACCTGCGACTGCGGCTCGGGGAAGCTGCCCATTGGCCTGTTGACAAATAAATTAAGAGCGTTTACGCCGTTTGGCGCAAAAACAGTACTTTTTCAACTCGTTACAATCATTAACCAGTAATACTACAAATATGTTACAGGCATAAATAGTTAAGCAATTTCGTCGTCTAAATAGTTAATTGAGAAAATATTGCGATTAGTTTAGTATTTAAGAATTCAATCAAGATAAGTCCACACAGGTTTTGTAAATTTCCACTTTAGCGTCAGTTTACAAGCTGAAGTTTTTATAAAAANCTCTATTACTTTGATGGTAGGGTCGGAAATCGTGTAATTTAAAAAATACTTAGCGAGAAATACGCGGTGCGTGTAATACACGACTACGTATTATGCAATAATAACCTCTATTACTTTGATGGTAGGGTCGGAAATCGTGTAATTTAAAAAATACTAGGTGGATCAAGTATTTTAAAAATTGGAATAGGTGCCACTTAGTACCGTAAAATACCTAGTGTGTGGATCTGTTCTAGTAAATACGTCTCATCTCTAGCTGGCGGCATACATTTAGTATGAAATTCGGAAAAATTGAATTTTCGCATAGATCCAGTTTATTCTTTGACCTATTTATTGCTATAGTTTTAAAGAGCTCATGAAGCACTTACAGGAACAGTAAACAGTTTCTCGATATCTTGTATAATTAAAAATCAAGTGAAGTCACTTATCGTTTCCACCCTGTACCTATACTTTTAAAAATAAACTCATTTTATACGTTCATTTGTATAAGTATCTGCAATACAAATACCTAACCAACTTAGTTGACGTTTTATAAAACTATTATACATATAATATAGATTTGTCTAAGTGGCATCGAGCGACCGCTGGTGGATTTGTCATTTACCTGACCTACCCCTTTATTACTAAACGTTTAATATCAGATGAATCGTTACGCACCAATTTCTTTCATTCAGTCGTCAGTAATTTAACTTTCGGAAAAACATGACGAAGCGTTGTGTGACCATACAGACGCTATTCAACTTTTATTAGTAAGGAAGAGTATACATATAATTTTATGTTGGTAGAAACACAATGGCATAGACTAATGTTTTGAACCCTACACCCTGTTAAAATTTTTATTAGTCATTTATTTTTTCCTGACCAAACAGATACCATAATAATATCTTTTATCTATTCTACCCATATTCTGTAAGTAAAATAAAAAAAAATTTTGAAAAGAAAGAAATTACAAGTCCGATTTACCTAAACAAATAAATTAAAAATACTTGCGGATCAAAAGTACTCAATCATACTACAATTTACGAAAAAATCACGCGTGACGCACATACGTCAGTGGGCAGTCAACTGACATAGACCCGGCGTCTACGAGTGCCAAAGCACGACTGATTTATGCCATTTGATGCACCCGATTTTATAGTATTTTCAGATTAATTTTTCATTTGAAGATTGAAGATAGATATTTTTTCTTTTTCACACAATAATAGTACTATGTTTCTTCTTAAGTATAAAGTAGTTTATGTTGCCAAATGACTTTTAGATTATGAGATGTGACCTGTTTTCTTGCAGTAATTTTCTCGAATTTTGACTATCTTAGACATGATAAAAATGCATTTTAATGAATTAAACATCAAAATTTTCTCAATACACTTTCTTCTTCAGGGTATGCTTATTCTAATGAATACATTCTATCTTCTTACTTAGAAATAAATTTGTTGTAATATTAGTTCAAAGTTGTGCCTTCGCGAGTTACCTGGAAATCGGGCTTTCGAAATTCGCTGTTTTCGTAGACAAAAATCCAATTTGAACGAGATTTTGTCAATAGACATTCCGTAAAAACGTATGATAATTACAATGATATAAGTCGAAAGAAGCTATAACAATAAATTATATGACTAAAATCATTTCGAAATCTGCCAAATTCTCGATTTCTGCATGAAAAATGTGACAACGCTCTTAAGTAATGAAATTTTGATTAATGGTGGTGGCAACTACCCGTTCGTTACGTTCGTTCGTTACGATCATCGTTGACCCAATTATTTATTATAACATCATATTTCCTGCAAAATAAGAAAAACTTACCTGTCTACAAGTCCATCAGACGCGAAGTTAACCGAATCGGTGAACAACGAGTGTAAATCTAAAATTCAAAGGTGACTGGCTAATTAACTGACTGACTGACATAGTGATCTATCAACGCACAGCCCAAACCACTGGACGGATCGGGCTGAAATTTGGCATGCAGGTAGATGTTATGACTTGGGCATTTCTAAGAAAGGATTTTACGAAACTCCACCCCTAAGGGGGTAAAACGGGATCCACGCGTACGAAGTCGGCCGCTAGTTAGGCTGAGTTGCACCACCTAACTTTGACGATAACTAATAACGATAACCGATGTTTTTCGTATGGAGTTTGACAGATTTTTGACGTTTGTCAAAGTTAAAGTAAGATGATGCTACCCAGCCTTAGAATATAAAGTTGCAAAATAAAAAACAAAATAAAATTGGATAAATTCCAGAATATAAATCTGAAATGAAAGATATAAAAAATAAAAGTACTTACAGGTAGAGGGAAAGGCGCTGGGCGATGTGACATGGGCGCGAAGGGCGGGACACGGGGCTCCTGCGCGGGCGGCGGTGGCATGCGGTCCATCTGGGGCATACGGTCCATCTGGGGCATACGGTCCATTTGCGGCATGCGGTCCATTTGGGGCATGCGGTCCATCTGAGGCCTCAACGGAAGACGCACGGGGCCGGACAGCGGGAATGCGAACACCTGCGACTGCGGCTCGGGGAAGCTGCCCATTGGTCTGTTGACAAATAAATTAATAGGATAAAAACATTTTCAAAAGCAAGTTTCTAGCCCATACTTATAATGTACTAGCTTTTGCCCGCGTGAAATTTAGTTTGTTACAGATCGTCATAAATTATAACCTATATATTATTTTGGGTTATAAACAATAATACTGTAAAGTTTCATCAAAATCCTTTCAGTAGTTACTGCGTGAAAGAGTAACAAACATCCAGACATCCAAACTTTCGCATTAATAATATTAGTAGGATAAGAGCCCTCATCAAGACAAAACTAAAGCGCCCCGACAAGATAAGGTTGCTGTAAAGTTATTGAGGAGTTTGGCCCTGGTGGACTTTGGCTAGTAGGTACCTATAAAGATTTTAATTTTAAACACGTCAAATCCTAACCAAACTGTGAAGAAATACACTTTCAGTCGAACCTAATACCTAGGTCTAAACAGACCTTCTCAATCGCTAAATCACAAGAGGCTTTTATACTGTGTACACATAATACAGACATGTACGAAACTTTGTTATTAGTTTTAAAGAGAAAACTTAAGTTCACTATCACTTCTGCCACTTTAAGTTCAAGTTTTGAACTTAATGCTGAAAGTTTCGAGACTGTCATTTATTTGTTCGTTCATTACATCAAAAAGAAAGAGGTCTGTCCCATAAAACAGCAAACACAAGTTACAATATTTTAGCAATTTCACCAACCTTCAATGATGATTATATTTAAGAGTAGGTTAACTATTCATATAGATCCAATGACTTCAGCGGCGTAACGCGATTACGCGACGCGATCGCAACGTTTCGTTTTTATGCAATTTTACATATTTTGCAGTCGAGTCTCTCACTACTACCACTACTACACTTCTTTACTGCACGCACTATTTATCAAAAGTCGCCACATTCATTCCTGCTAAGTAGTCTCGTGTACCAGAGACTGAAAACTACACAACATTTGTTACACAAGGGCGTTAGTTGTAAGTATCTGTGTATAGGTCTAACTCCCAGGTGGCAGGATTATAGACTATCAAACTTTGTCTGCTCCATTTCTCTATGGAATTCATTTTCCAGTTAAGAAACTTTGCGAACTTTCACTCCATTTGCCGGACTTGTTTAGGAGTCCGTTTACGTTTTCCAAGCGAGGATTATAATTTAAGTCATGCATTTTCCTGGATTTGAAATGCGCAAAACAAGATGCTTTAATAGAATGTTTTTAATTATGTAGGTAGGAGATTACAGGTCAATTGCAGAAAGTGCATTTGTACGTATAGGGATAGAGTTAATCCTCTTAACTGCATAAGTATTTCTATCAAAATCCCCAGCTATATTATAACAACAGGGAGGTATATTTAAATTGCTACTCAGGTAACGTGCGCGTAGCGTGCGACATTTTGCTTGTGAAACGGACCGGGAAGGGCCTTTTCCGCGTTCTCATACAAATAAGTATGTTCTTACACACCCACGCACACACGTCACAATGTGGATGACAATTAATGAATTTTTCCTATACTTTCCTTCCTATTTGTACAAGAAACCTCTTTCTTGTAAAATTAGGAAAGGTGTTTCTGAAAAATTACACGTGCCGTACAAAAAGACACACGAGTGATTAGTTTTTCTATTTTACGTATTTTATAAACAAATTATTCCTAAATTAAATATTAAACTTATGTACTCGTATATTTCAAGTAAAATCTTATCTAAACTTTAAAGTTAGTTTTGCACTACGTGCCGAGGAAGACCAATTTTAAAACGTTTTTATATTAAATTTAGTCCTTCTCAGTTAATTTACTCCCGCCACCCACTGCGGGGTGACACCTACGCAAATTCCTCAAATATTTTTGTCCTATCCAGATAAATTAAAAAATACCATAGACGTGTAATGTAAAAGTTAATAGACCTTGTTTTTACTACTTGCACTCTAAACAATAACAAATAACGTATGTTTTTATAACTCCGTCAACAGCAACAAATGTAGATAAAGTTAATATTGATTAATTCTGTTGTTTAGCCTTTTTAACGCTCCGTTAACAGTTTAGTATTTTAATTGTATTTATTGAGTAATTAATTATTGCTTCAAATCAAGTTTTGAGAACGTAACACTTTAACTTTAGTAAATATTGGTCAACAACGACAACAGTCAATGTCTAGCCGAATGCATATTTTACTAAATGGCAATAATATTATGACTGATTGGCTGTCTCTACATGGGACATAAAAGTCTGTCTGTGTTTTGTCTTGATTATTTAGTCTCTAGTGCATAATAATGCCTCGATGCGAAGGCCTCGAACTTTTCTACAAAAAGCAAAAAATGCTTTTTAAAAGCCTACTTGCAAAATAAAATGAGTTTTACATATTATTATCCTCTCACATTAAAGACTTATTAAGCAGCTATGCCCTTACCTAGGTTCGTCTCCGCCGTGGCAGATGATGGCCACGCGCTCGGCCTGCGCGTTGCGCGGGGCGAAGGCTCCGAGGATGTTGAAGGGGAAGCGCCTCTCCATGGGGTCTTCGTGGCGACGCTCCACCACGCAGTTCATGCGTCCCCTAGAAGTAAATTAATCGTTGTATTAGTAAGTTTGTTCTAATAGCAGGAAAATATAAATAATTAAGCAAATGTAGGTACAGTTAGGAATCATAAATAAGGAGATCCGCAGGAGAACCAAAGTGACCGACATAACTCGCAGAATTGCTAAAAGCTAGTGGCAGTGGGCGAGGCACATAGCTCGTAGATACAATGGTCGATGGGGCAGAAAAGTTAGTGGTGACCACGGGCTGGAAGACGTAGCGCGGGCAGGCCTCCTATTAGGTGGACCGACGATCTGGTAAAGGTCGCGGGAAGAACCTGGATGCAGGCAGCGCAGGACCGTTCGTTATGGAAAGCCTTGGGAGAAGCCTTTGTCCAGCAGTGGCAAACGAACGAATGAACGAAAGTACAATTAACATCAATACCTTCTAATTTTACATTTTATAATCATAAGGATACAAGAAGGTTCAGAATTAAAGTGTTTTTAATATTGCTAGAAAGCAATCGGTTCCAGATGATCCGATGAGTGGAGACACCACTCTAGTTGTTTGTTGTGTTGTGTTAGTCTATAATGTTAACTATGTTGATCATAAAACGAATATCCACGAAATTAGATACTTATGTTATCAAAAGTTTTGTGTTTTCAAAGAACCAGTAGGAGGAAGGTCCTATGTTGATGTACGTATTAGCTTACAACCAGTTTAAAGAGATATCCACACGAGTCACCCCGGGTGTAGGCAGTTCTACCCCTTCTAAGTGGGCGCTGACCTTAGCCCTTACTAAACTCTACGTCACTTATCTTGTTAATCGGATTGATTGCTTCCTACGTAATACAATTTAATTGCCAAGTAATTGGCAAACTGATCAAGCAGTATCGATTTCTTCTTGGTTTGTGTTCTAGTTCTAATAATGTTAAACGAGTTAAGACGAATAAATCATATTATTATCGTAAGTAATTAATTAATGTAGGTAAATAAAAATAATCGTTTGTGTCTTATTGATTTATGAAATGATTCAAAATATAACGTCAATTGTATGTAAGTATGCAGTTGTTATACGGCATGCTTGTTGCAATTACATTTCCAATTTCTTTAAATTTTATTCGATCACAAACGTGTAATTTTTTTATAGCCCTATAATTACATCGAACCATTTAGTTAGTGTTTCGTTTGACACAAGCAGTAATATAGTACAATACAAAAAATAAGTAATGTTTATAATTATTTATATGGCTATTATGCTGAATGCAATTAGAAACGTAAGTGTATGTTTAATTACACTAGTAACATATTATGTCCATGTTTAAAGGCTTTTTTTTATTTGATAACTAACATAATTGTTTTAATAGCTCTTTTACCTACCGAACATAGATGGTGCTCTACAAAGGTGAATGTGACCCTATTCTTTGATTCAAATTCAAATTCAAAATATTGCTTACTAAGTGACAATTTGTAATGGTGTAAATTACATAATATACAGGAGCTTAAAAACTTAGTTACCTGAGTGGTATCGCAATAGAGTAGGTGGCTATTTAAACATTAATGGTATTAATATTAATTAACTATAATAAGTTTATTAATTCTTGCTAGCTATCATAAAAATATAGCTATGAGACACGATACCTACTTAGGCTGAGTTGCACCACTTAACTTTGACCGTAACTATAACGATAACCGGTGCTTTTTGTATGAAGTTTGCAGATTTTTGACGTTTGTTAAAGTTAAAGTAAGATGGTGCCACCCAGCCTTATACTCGTACTTACTTAACATCTTACTTGCCCTCTAATACGTAACGTGATCCTTTGACATTTTTATCTTTTGATACACATTTTACGAGCTCATGCAAGCGAGATACCATTATTTATTGTGTGCGACGAATTTTGAACGGTCTAAAGAACCCCATACGATAAAACGACAAAGCGGACACAAGCCTTTGATATCTATCTATCTGTATTATGCCGGTATTATGATGGGGATTTTGAGGAAGGTACTTAGCATACCATAGTTTTTATCGCGGATAAGGATTCGGTCCTGTCCGCGCGTTTATGTAGGTAGAGGATGTAGCTTATTAAAGAAGAATGCTAAAAAGAACTATAAAACTTTTTATTTATTTTGGAGTGTTGGCAAGAAAAAACCGTCCACCTTGTAGTCGAACTGATAGTGCAACAAGATCAGATGTATCCTAGCAGATTCTCCTTGTTCTCCTTGAAACTGTTATATGTATCAGTTATCGTTGCTAAAGTCATATTTGTTCTATATGAGGAGAATATCCAACTTACTTCTGGTTGTTGGCGAGGAAGGCGCCGGCCAGCTCGTCGAGGTCAAACTGCACGGGCAGCTTGAACAGCGGCCTGATGGCGTCCAGGTCCTCCTCCTCCTCAGCAGAACTGTCGGACTCCGAGCTCTCATCGCTACCAGAGTCAGCCTCGTTCTTTGAGTTGTCATTGTCGATTTTCTGCAAAAAAACAAGTCATTTTGTTATTAGTGTGACCTTTAAAACTACAGACATTAGACTTTTGTCAGTCCCATTTGCACTTCATTCTCATAACCAAACTGGTTTGACAACCTTTTTAGTTGCTATAAATTGCATGCTCTGTTTGAGATCACCAAATATTAGATTATTTCAAACCGTAAATATCAGTAGTACCTACTTCACATTATAAACAGTTAGGCACAATACCAATCCGATACAACAATATTTACCCAAAATAAGATGCAAAACAAATAAACTTTGACAACTTCCTATTGTTGGGTCTCAAAGGAAAAATATGATTATTCATCGGCATTGTATACCAATCCGACTTTACTGTTTCCAATGAAATGAAAGTATTGGGTTTCATACTGAACAGAATAAACACTCCAACTTGTTCTTGAGAATAATAGGAAAACAATACTGAAAAGTGCCTTCGATATAAAAGTTATAAACCGAGGAGAATGTATTTCAGGGTCGTACCCCTGACACGGCTCTAGCAAAAACAACCTACGAAGCGAGTATTATTTTTTCACAATAATGGCTATGTTTTATTATCTTTGCTTCTTGACATTGCATTGGAATCTTTAGGTACTCGCACAGTCAAGATCAGAGAGATCATGCAAACAAATGTAAAGGAAGTACTATGCTATTTTAAGTAACTTTTAAAAATAAACATTAGCGGATTAATTTTGCCTTAAAAATTTTATACCGCTCACCAAAACAATTTGCATAGGTCTTGTCCTCTGTCTTGTATTCATGTTACATTACGTTCAGAACTTCAGAAGTGATTATATAATTGTAAACTCTACATACACGGAACTAACTTCTAAGAGGCAGGAAGTAACAGAGTGCGCATCTTAAACGAAGGTATACTTAGTAGTTGACCTAAAGAGTCAGTGAGGTTAAGGGTCCGTCAACTAGACCGGGAAGCGTTGCGCAAACCGCTGGTATAAATCAGTGAGCAGGACTAGTTGGGTTCAGGTGGCGGGCCCTCGNGGTCCTCAACCCAGCACTCGACCTAGGGCTACCAGTAAACAGGGAACTGTTGTTAACGTCGTCAATACCTTCCCGTTTGTAGATAAAGTGGTGACATAACATTTACCGAACTGAAAAAAATGCTGAAGTGTATTTTTAAGACCTACAAGTCATCAAAAAACTTTCTAAACCACGTAAATAGCTTGGTTTCATATTTCCCACTGTCAATATTTTTTTCATGGAGAGTTGAGAACCCTGTACAAGATGGTTCTTAATACTTTTATAGACAATAAGAGATTGTTGATTACGTATCCGTGTCTAACGGGCAATTATTTGGTTCCGAAGTAAATTATGAAATACTAGGTACTTCTTCTTTTATGTAGGTACCTACTTGTAAATACTTTTAAAACATAAAACAGCAATAAACGTTTAACTATATTGCGATATTACTGCAACACGAATCATGGTCAAATATTTAACATGCATGATAGTATGTATTTTGAAATACCGTTGGTGGTTCTGCAATAGATAATTAATTCACACAGATATAGAATCACAGTCGTTTTATAAATGGAAGATTCTCATTTACCACACGATATCCAACTCTACCAACTAGCGAGTGAATTAATTTCTTACTACCATAGTTATTTTTTTGCTACAAACGCTATACGGATATTAATGGCTACTAAAATCAAATTGCTTCTACGAAGAAACAATTAAGTGTTTTAATATTCATTGCTCACTGAGGAATACGACTAAACGTAAACGTAATGTAGGAAGTACCCACTAACTTGACATGATAAGTTTCTTTAAATACTTGCCTGCTTTCGTAAAGCAATGATAATTCGTTAAATTAAGTGCACCATTACAATGTAACCTGAACTGGTTTCAAAATGTAAAATATGTGATGTTATACAACTTTGTTTAAAGTTATCAAAAGCGTAACTTATTGCTGAACGACGCGAGCAATGGAAACATTGCACGTAGAAAGTTATGAATTTAAAATAATGGCTAATAAAATATATTAATGTTATTTTGCATGCGCGCATGTCTTGGTGGATATTTACGTTATTCGAGAATTAATTGTTGTGACAATCAACTTATGTTATGATCACAAACTTTTCAGCCTAGAAAAGTAGATTTTTTATTCATTTTGGTTTTACTAGCTATTTATAAGTAATACCAGTTTTGGTTACCAGCTAAGAAAGCGAACAAAAACAAGTTTCTTAGGTATAAAATCAATAAATTGATTCAAGAACTTTCAAGAAACGTTAAGCCTTAACTGACCTAACTACGTAACTCTCAGAAGAGTTACGTATCAAGGTAGGTATACAACAGTCAAAAGTAAATATTAGCTGGTGCACTTGATAAATTTCCAACGTGTAAAACAGAGCAATTTATCTCGTTCTGTACTGTTTGCGCGGCACAATCGCTCGGACATCCTGCGCGAACAATGCGCCCGCGCACCATTGTCTCGCGCCCTCCGTTTACAAATATCACCACCACATGAATAGCTCATCGTTTGATCGGCCGATTCGTATGCTAATCTTGTCCTTTAATTATTAGTTTAACAAACAATTTATTTACAGCAATTATAAACAAGCACCATTGAAGACCCTCCATTGAAGACTTGGCCGTGCACTTCCATGCACTCATGCGAAACTTCATTGTCCATCCATGAATAAGCGAGTAATTGAACGTGAATACCGAAATAATCAACCAAAACACTCTATTTCTCATTAAGTTATTAAGATAGTACACAAATACTTACACATATTTCATTCCCAACTTTAAAGTAGATATTATGCATTAGTGGTAGAGTTAGACTTCATATCTTTTGAGATATCAAAACATCGTCAATGACAAAAATACATGAAGATAATTTGACTTAGCTAAGAAAGATTTAAAGATAAATTATAAAGCTCAGTTCCTTTGACCGAAATATTTTTCTACAATCTCTGAAGGATTGGTAGACGCTATATTTGGCCTGAATGTGGTGTAAATTATTTTCAACCTTAAACATTCTCTTCCACGAATCGTACATTAAGGAGTTTATTGTACGCTGTATCTTTTATAGTCCATTATCTTTCAGGAAATTCGCATAATATAAAGAAAATATTTTTGGGGTCCCTTCTGAGAAGCACTGGGGATATCCGAAAAATGTGATAGGTATCAGTGACTCTAGCTTTTCGTAATTCTAAAAGTGCTACAGACCGCATTGTTGTTTTACAAAAGCAAGACAAATCCACCACCACGTTCCTCGTTGATAGGAACGTTCTCGAATGGCGACTTTAGAATGAAAGGCACAGGTGTGGGTAGGTCTGCCAACTGGTGGAACGATGGAGCTCCAGAGCCGCTCGCAGTACCTAGGCATATTCAAGAGTGAATTTCTAGAACCTGATGATGACTAACTTTTTGTCTTAATGTTCTAAAGTACGAGTATGTTGAAGGGCACGGTAGCTTTTGTGTTTATTATCAATACCTAGTCCATAAAACGCTTGACAGTTTAGTCAGTTTACGCAACAGAGCATCGGCTGCTTTCTCAGCGCTCAGCCGGGAAGCCGAGCGAAGAGGTGCGCGGGCGGCGGTGAAAGCCGGTGACGACATCACTTGCACCCGCCGCGCTTCACCACGCGGACGGGAAGTGATGCACGGGCACGACACTAATCTCGTGCCCGCATCGACAATGTGGAAATGAATTGAATTATCTATTTGCTTTAATAGAACGGTTGTATACAGCATACATACACTACGTTCGATTACGAGACGGCCATTAGCTCTACAATCGACAAGCAGATTTTTTTCAGCTAGAGTAAAATGAAACAGGTCTAAACAGTGGGAACAATTATACTCAGTGATATGCTTTGTATATTGATTCTATTTTAGTTCAGCTAACAAGAAACAGACAAGGAAACAATACCTAGTCTATTATGCCACATTTCACACTTATTTCAAATATCAGTTTTACGTTTCTTATTGCAATCTAGTTCCAAACTGATTATTGAAACTGCAAGTATTTTCGTCTGTCGCGACTCGCGATTACAGTGCTGGATATGGATGACAAAGCAAGTAAGTTGAAATGGCTAATTTCAAAATTGTAATAACTTTTGGTAGCAATTTTAAATTGTAATTACTTTTGTGTTCCTTTTCATCCTACTCAGCTTTTAAACCTGCAAGTATTCATAAAAGCGTTCTTTGCGAAGCAAGAAGCAAGGGGTCATAAAATTGTGCACATTTGCATTCTGGCGGAGATCCAAGTTGTTCGCAAGCGGATCCTCCGCGACTCCATTATGACTTAAATTGCACGTATATGGCCTGCAAGGACACTGTTTTCCCATGCAATCTCAATATGCTACTCAATTGTTGAATTCCTGCTTGCAAATAATATCTTAACAATTGTTTCTGTGCTTTTTTGTGTTATTGATTTCTAATGCTTGTTCATAATTAACAACTTCTAAACAATGTTATATTATAAAAGATAATGACACGTTTAGCATTATATTAAGTTGTTATAATGAATGATATAAACGAAGAACATTTATGTGGAAATCAATGTCATGAATAATCCACTCGGATACGAGTTATACTAAATCTTTGTTAACAATAATCGTCATCATTTCAGCCTCAGGACGTCCACTGTTGAAAATGAGCCTTCCCCAAAGATTTAAAGATTGGCTGGTTGGTAGGCCACCTCTTGGGTGGACGTCCAAAACAGGACTTTCCGTTACGTGCCTCTACTCCAGAGCCTGGGCTTGCTGCCCCATCAGTCGTCAGTTCAGCATTGGTTACATAATATGCCATATTTACCTGTAATTTATCTTCATCAATTTTCGACTCGGCTTGGTTGAGAGCGTCGTCTTTGAGATGGCTCTCCGGCGTGTGGCTGGGCTGCGCGGGCGCAGCCACCGCTGGGGGCACGCCGTGCAGGGCGTGTGCGTTCGCCACTGGCAGAGGCTCGTCCTAGAAACAAATAACATTTTATTAAATAACTGTGTAATGCTTCAGTTATGACATAACTACGAGTAAGTAGGCACAACTAAACTAGAGAAACTCTACGAGAAAGCAGAGCTTTATTTTTTCCCAGAAATGAAAGACAAACGGTTCAGTTAAGTAGTTATCTGGAAAGTCGTGAATTTCAGGAAAATAGAGATTCAAATCACTGGTGATATTTTCCATTATTCTAAACCGACGAAATATTANCCTGCTTGTAAATAATATCTTAACAATTGTTTCTGTGCTTTTTTGTGTTATTGATTGCTAATGCTTGTTCATAATTAACAACTTCTAAACAATGTTATATTATAAATGATAATGACATGTTTATCATTATATTAAGTTGTTAATGAATGATATAAACGGAGAACATTTATGTGGAAATCAATGTCATGAATAATCCACAATAAATTGTTAGGTTACATCATCATCATAATTTCAGCCCCAGGACATCGACTGCTAAAAATAAGCCTCCCCCAAAGATTTAGAGATTGGCTGATTCATGGTTGGTAGGAGTCTGCTACACCCAGCACCTTTTAATGAGGTCGTTTGACCTAAGCAGGGGTGGCCTTCACGTGCCTTCACTCCAGAACCTAGGCTTGCTGCCCCATCGGCCATCAGTTCAGCATTGCATAATAATATGTCATATTTACCTGTAACTTATCTTCATCAATTTTCGACTCGGCTTGGTTGAGAGCGTCGTCTTTGAGATGGCTCTCCGGCGCGTGGCTGGGCTGCGCGGGCGCAGCCACCGCTGGGGGCACGCCGTGCAGGGCGTGTGCGTTCGCCACTGGCAAAGGCTCGTCCTAGAAACAAATAACATTTCATTAAATAACTGTGTAAGGCATCAGTTATGACATAACTACGAGTAAGTAGGTACAACTAAACTAGAGAAACTCTGATGAAAAATTAAACAGCGCCCCCTATATTATAGCCGCCCTAGGGGGCGCTGTTTAATTTTTCATACAAAATTTTTCGATGACACTTTGAATACGCAACGAAACGAACTCGAAAGTTTTTCGTACTAGAGGTACAGAGCTTTATTTTTTCCCAGAAATGAAAGACAAACGGTCCAGTTAAGTAGTTATCTGGAAAGTCGTGAATTTCAGGAAAATAGAGATTCAAATCACTGGTGATATTTTCCATTATTCTAAACCGACGAACTATTACNAAATATTATTTCTTGGTATTTAATAAACAGCTCATTCTTTTCACAATCTTGATTGTATACTCGTATCTGTTTAAATGCATGGTGTAAATATCCTAAGCACGACACAAACTGTACAAAGACATCGTTATGTAGGTACTATGCTGTATTACGTCCACTTCTCGGAATGGCAAGTCAAGTCACACCTGCCTATCGCGGTATCGATCTATCAATGCAAAAATAAGTACTAAGGTACATAAACTTGTGTACGAACTAGAGGGCAAGTCAAGGTACAAAGATTTTTAATGTAACGAGATTAAATTGCTTGCAATAAATATTGCTGTCCACGAAATTAAACGTCGCGCGTCGGTAGGTAGGTAGTCGTTCTTTACACTTATTAATTTCTTTTTAAGTAATCTGAAACAGGGACATTACTTAAAACTTTCAATACTTTTGAAATAAGTTTAATTCCTACATGACCTTATTAAAATGCAAATAAGTATGCAAAACAAATATTTTACATTATGTAAGCAGAAATATTTACGTTAATGTCTTTGTTTTACAAAAAATAAAAGAAGTAAATCCATAATATTGACGCGTGAACTTCTAGTTAGGTTGCCAACTCACGTTTGTATTGTCAAGTCGTAAATGTGCTTTACGTGAACATAAATAATTGTTATCAGTAAGCTATGTTGTCTATTGTTTATTTTTGCGCTTGTTAAACATCCTAATAATTGCGCAGATTCTTCCATAATTATCAGACAGTCGCTAACATATTGTTTCTATCAACTCGTTAGGTAGAGTCATCTACTTGTAGATAGCAACTTAAAAGGCATTGCCACAAATTACGTATGTTTTGTCTTTTAAGTTTCTTAAATTATGTAACTTTTAAGGTATTTAAATTGTAAGTACATCGTGACTGCGTTTGCACTTTGTCAGTTGACAAAACTATTTCCACAAGAAATAACACAGCAAAAACAGCCGCAAGACCGCCGTTCACTTTAAGCGCAAAAACCATCAAAGTACTCATCGCAAAATGGCGGATGCCTTTTGCATGTAGCCAGTGTTACGTAACCCACGTACTGCCTACACCACACAGCCTGCACAGGTAGTAGGTACGCTGTGCGAATTGCGCGGCATTAAAGTTCGTCATTGTTCATGTCATGTTGCTGAGTTCTCACTGCATAATCACTAGAATTGACGACTTACAGAGTCATGCAAAGTGCTTGAAAAAACCTTCAAGCAATGGTGCAAGGTCACCCGAGTTGACAGCGTGACCGCTATTGCGTATCAAATGCAGACGGCACTCGATTAACATTGAAATAAGTTTATAAATTCCCCGACAATAGAACTGCATTGTTTCAGGTTGCACGAACGAATATCGTTGTATCTAAACAACAACACAAAAGGAAAATACGGCAATAGCAATTTGATGGCAATTATCCTGAGAGTGGCTGCGAGCCATTCGAATATCTCTCTATTCGTATCTAGTCGGAACTAATACATAAACAGGCTTTCCATACATAGACCAGGCAGATACGCATGTATTTTGATCTGCAGTGATTGAAAACATTCTTCTATTAATATTCTATTACTTTGAAGACACTCATACAAAATTGCTCCCAACTCGTTACAGATTTCATTATTTGCCAGATAACTAAGATTGTAATAGTTGGTGAGCCTATCTGCTAGTTTGGAGTGTGAAATGATGTTCTGACACTCCGTCAACTATCAACGAGCAGCGAAGCGCGAAGTGTTCGCGACCGCAACTGATAGAAAACGGCGATTACGTCGCCGGCATTATTGTCGCATTGTGCACTACGCCCACACCACTTTTACTGGATTTACGAAACATTTTAAACATTTAATAGTCTTTGTTACCTTCTGAGCTGCGTGTTGCGTGGTAACTAGGAAATTGCACCTCTTATCCGACCGAAAGCAATGCTCGAAGTGTGGGTGCGGTGCAGGAGTTTGGAATCTAACCTCTCATAGACAATTATTATCACCAATAAGCTTATTTTTCCACTGGTCTTTCATAACCAAAAGTGATTACACAGTTGACTAAGTATGTTATAATCACAGACGCTGGATAACGTAACGCCAACCGAGATTATAATTTAACATTTTGCTTCCTTGTAGACTCTACATTGAATACATAAATTATTATACAAGTTAAAATGCATTTAAATTTCTTAATCGTATGCTTAACTTTACATTACAGTTATTACAAAACAGTTATTATTACATAAACATTCGTAACTTAACTGAAAATAAAGCAGAGATTCACCGTAACTGTGATAAATAAGTTTTAATAGGAGAAAGTATTAACAAGCAAATTTGATATGGGAGTTATTCGTCACTGTTGTTTAACACTTAAAGCCCGTTAGATGAGCTGAGCTGGGATAACTTTTGAACCGACATTCAATCTATACCTAATCAATAATTACATAATAAACAATATTATAAAGTTACAGCCGAGTCATGTCACGATCACGGTGCTCATTGTTTATTCTTACCATTTATTTCCATGTCAAATTAAATGAAACAACAATAAAATATATACTATTGAGGTTGCTAAGCTAAAATATTATTAGAAGGCCATTATTGTCTAGAGACTAGTTTTTGGAAACTAAACTACAGTGACCAGACCAGATGGCTGGTACCGAAAGACCTCAATTCACCGCTATTCAAGACCCGTTCTCGACCGACTCAGCTATCTTTGTTTTCAATGTGGGCTTCATTGTGTCTACAGCACATAATAGGGAGGCTTCGGTATGAAAACTATTTAAGTAAAATTTTAAATGTAGGACTAAACACAAATCTTTACTCTCTTTGTCCCACGACGAGAAAGTTTGACTCTACAATTCTACATATTATAAGTCCTTCGTTGTTGTTGTTTACGATGTAGAATTAAATTGAATACTTTACTAGAACTACATTATGTATTACTAATGTTATGAGAACTAAAAAAAGAAAGTAAAATAACCAATTACGTATTAATGTATGACGTCATAAATGTCAATAAACGGATGCAAAACTGCAATATCTTCTGAAAGTTTCTTATTATGTTTGTGACTGTATTTTAGAAAGTTGATTCTTGGGAAAAGTTCAGTAGCAGAGATAAAAATAACAACAATTGTTTGACGACATTATACGATTAGGTATGTCGTCCTATCCTACCCTGCCGACCTACCCCTGAACACCTCATGAAAACATGAGTTTTTCTTCACTTTTATGTCCTCAGTCATAAAGCATCCTAACTACAGTGCGGTTGTTATTATGACAACCTATGATGCCTACTTCCATCCACAAAATCAGGGAATTTTCTAGATATGCTGCAAAATCCAAGAACTAGGTGCCAGATGTGTAGTGGGAGGCGGACAATCGGGCGGAGATCATTGTGGCGCGAGTATGCGTAAAATCGCCAGCTTCCGTCCATGTATTCAATGTACGTGTATAAATAAACACCAGTTTGGTCCACGTGAGCCGTCAAAAATAAGCTATCATTAGAACCACCTATTATTAACCTCACATGCTTAATATGTGCTTAGGTCACTGAAGGTCACACTGAAATGGTCACGCTCAAGCTGCTACAGTAAAATTATAATTCTTTATTGTCAATTAACGCATCCAGTGCGTACCTAATGTTTATTTTATACAGCAATTTATCTATTTTCTCTCTAGCACATAATGCTGCGTGTCGGATGGCATCCATATTAATTTAGCAGTTGTTTGACTTATTTATTAGTGCCAGCTTATGATTTATCGGCATCGTCTACAATTAATCGATAAGTAGTTTACTGAAAATATTACTATTAGATGAAATATTTGTTACTTTATGTAATTAATAATTACATACGGTAATTTTAAAGAAATATAATTACTAATTATATTTCTTTAAAAGACTTTTCCTAAGGTTTAAGTATAATATACGCCTCGTCTGTATGGTTCAAATGAAAAACTAGCTTCTGTACCTTTATAACTCATGTATTCCAAACAGTTCTTCAAATGTTATTGAAGTGAAGATTAATGTAATAATAAATAGGACATTCAGTAATTCATATTATGTAGGTATTATTTTATCAATTTATATTGAGATCTTTTGTCGGCTGTCTGCTTGTCGTCGGTGTCAGAATTAACACCTATATTTTTTAGCTTTGTTGCACCGCCCCTGTCTCGCATTACTATTTAGCGCAAAAGTTTGATTCATTCACAATGTCACATAAGGTTCAATTTTATTTTTGTTCACTTGTACCTAATGTGCATTGAAGTCAATAAAAAAATTATCTCTCTTTCTGATGTCACGAATGTCGCACAAACAATTTATACCCAGAATAAGTATAGTTCCAAAATACTGGACTGTCCTGTCGATGACATTGACAGTGGGGCGCCACCGTCAATACCGGATCGCTGGTTCAGATTTTTGCCATGTTGGAAACCATATAGTTGAACGATGGTAGCGCCCCCCTGTCATTGAGTTTGGCGGGACAGTTCAGCGTGGGTCATCTATAGTAGGTGTGGCAAACCGAACCTCTTTGCCTTTTATACTTTTTTTATTTAATTTTTTTTAAGAATAAACCTGTTTTTTGATAGCTGTCTTGTAAGCAACGTCTCGAAATTAAACGCGAATAATTTACTTGGATATTTTCTTATATTTTTCACTCCTTTACCTCTGATCCCTCA